ACTGGGGGCTTTTGCAACTGTATTCCAATGTGGTTTTACTGCAAATTACAAATAAATGAATATGAATCATACTGAAGACATTTTTGTATAGTACTGTCTGAATTATACTGTACAAGAGACTTCTACTTCCTTTCACTCTCCTTCTTGTTTGGTTCCTCTGCTTCTTCTGCTTCTGCTTTTTCTCGCCCGTCAGCAGAAAACTCCAAGAAAAGTAAAGAACAGGAACCAGAGAGGACTGGGATGGTCACATCGGACGCAATCATGTGAGATCACCCGAGCACACAAACCAATATTGTGTGTGTATCGTGTGTATTGTGTGTATTACCTGCGCACACAGCCTGCTATTCCTATTAGAGACAGTTGCACAATATTGTGGAAAATAAAACAATTCACAGATTTAGATGTAATTTAGACTTTGGGAGCAGATGGGAAATGCAGCTGGATGTGTCTGTAGGAAAATGGAGGTAAAAGAATCATAAGTGCATAAAATTATATATATATATAAATAAAATAATAAAGTCTTGAAGAATCATGGGAAAAAGTCAGGCTTCAACATACTGTCTTCATGAAAACTATAAAACATATATATTTTGAAACTTGTAAGAAGAAGCTGTGTGAGCAACTGTTTGACGCTTGGTCGCTTGAGAGAGCTTGGTCATTTTTTTATTTACTGTTCTGTCTGAAAACAAAACAAAAAAACCGTTTCAAACATGTGACAGAGACCAGAAACTAGCAACAGACCAAAGCTGATTCAGAATGAGGTACTGTTGAAGACGGATGTTAATGTAAAGTTCAATTCATTTTGGTTTGGAAGTAATGTGCCAAATGATATTGATGTATTTATTTAATTATTTCAATTGTGGAAATGCCAATACAAAACATTTCAGACATCTGTAATCCTGTCGCACAAATGAAAAGGAGCAGAAAGAAGACAACAATCTAATGTTACCTGCTCTTTTCCGAAACATGTACAAAACACACATTGTCAAAGCTGTAGCACAAAGCTAGTTTGATTCATTTTTCTCTGGATGTTTTATTTCATATTAGAGAGGATTCCATAGTTTCTGGCAACGGGGAGAGCCACAAAGAAACACACGGGAGTTTGAGTGTATTGTTAAACATAAAAAAACAGTTGGATTTTATATTATACTTTTTTTTTGAGTTTTTGTCTTTGAGATTTCAATTAGTCAAAATATCCATCCATCCATCCATCTTTTTTCGTCGGCTTCATCCGTTGCCGGGTCGCGGGGGCAGCAGTCTAAGCAGAGACGCCCAGACTTCCCTATCCACACACACCTCCTCCAGCTCGTCCGGGGGGACCCCAAGGCGTTCCCAGGCCAGCTGAGAGACATAGTCTCTCCAGCGTGTCCTGGGTCTTCCCCGGGGCCTCCTCCCGGTGGGACGTGCCTGGAACACCTCCCCAGGGAGGCGTCCAGGAGGCATCCGGAACAGATGCCCGAGCCACCTCAACTGGTTCCTCTCAACGTGGAGTAGCAGCGGCTCTACTCCGAGCTCCTCCCGTGTGACCGAGCTCCTCACCCTATCTCTAAGGGAGCGCCCAGCCACTCTGCGGAGGAAGCTCATTTCGACCGCTTGTATCCGCAATCTTGTTCTTTCGGTCATTACCCAAAGCTCATGACCATAGGTGAGGGAGGGAACGAAGATTGACCGGTAAATCGAGAGCTTTGCCTTTCGGCTCAGCTCCCTCTTTACCACAATGGTCCGATACAGCGACCGCATCACTGCGCACGCTGCACCGATCCGCCTGTCAATCTCACGCTCCATTCTTCCCTCACTCGTGAACAAGACCCAGAGATACTTGAACTCCTCCACTTGAGGAAGGGCCTCTCCACCCACCCGTAGAGGGCAAGGCACCTTTTTCCGGTCGAGCACCATGGCCTCAGATTTGGAGGTGCTGATTCTCATCCCAGCTGCTTCACACTCGGTTGCAAACCGCCCCAGTGCATGTTGTAGGTCCTGGTTCGTTGGAGCCAACAGGACAACATCGTCTGCAAACAGCAGAGATGAAATCCTGTGGTCCCCGAACCGGACCTTCTCCGACCCCTGGCTGCGCCTAGATATTCTGTCCATAAATACAGTGAACAGAACCGGTGACAAAGGGCAGCCCTGGCGGAGGCCAACATGCACCGGGAACAGGTCTGACTTACTGCCGGCAATGCGCACGCAGCTCTGGCTCCGGTCATACAGGGACCGGACGGCCCTCAGCAGAGGACCCCGGACCCCGTACTCACGGAGGACCCCCCAAAGGACACCCCGGGGAACACGGTCGAACGCCTTCTCCAAATCCACAAAGCACATGTGGACAGGTTGGGCGAACTCCCATGAACCCTCTAGTATCCGATGGAGAGTATAGAGCTATCCAGTGTTCCACGGCCGGGACGAAAACCACACTGCTCCTCCTGAATCCGAGATTCGACCATCGGCCGTAGCCTCCTCTCCAGTACCTTGGAGTAAACCTTACCAGGGAGGCTGAGGAGTGTGATCCCACGATAATTGGAACACACCCTCCGGTCCCCCTTCTTGTAGAGAGGGACCACCACCCCGGTCTGCCACTCCATTGGCACCGCCCCCGATCGCCACGCGATGTGGCAGAGACGTGTCAGCCAAGACAGTCCTACAACATCCAGAGACTTTAGATAGTCAGGACGGATCTCATCCACTCCCGGCGCCTTGCCACCATGGAGGCTGCCAACCACCTTGGTGACCTCTGCCAGGGTGACAGAAGTATCCGCCCCAACATCCTCAGGCTCTGCCTCCGGAGGACGTGACGGGGGGGGGGTGAGGAGAACCTCGAAGTATTCCTTCCACCGTCCGACAATATCCCCGGTCGAGGTCAGCAGCTCACCCCCCGCACCGTACACGGTGTTGGCAAATAACTGCTTCCCCCTCCTGAGGTGCCGGACAGTTTCCCAGAATCTCTTCGAGGCCGACCGATAGTCATGCTCCATGGACTCTCCGAACTCCTCCCAGTCCCGGGTTTTTGCCTCTGCAACAGCCCGGGCCGCGGCACGCTTGGCCTGCCGGTACTGCCTCAGGAGTCCCCCGAACCATCATGGCTCGATAGGACTCCTTCTTCAGCCTGACGGCATCCCTTACTGCCGGTGTCCACCACCGGGTTCGGGGGTTGCCGCCGGGACCAGCACCAGAGACCTTGCGACCACAGCTACGAGCCGCCGCATCGGCGATAGAGGAAGAGAACATGGTCCACTCAGACTCAATATGGGGAAGCTCTCCCGGAGGTGTGAGTTGAAAGTCCGTCTGACAGGGGTCTCAGCGAGATGTTCCCAGTAGACCCTCACTAGACGCTTGGGTCTGCCAGGTCTGAACGGCTTCCTCCCCTGCCAGCGGATCCAACTCACGACCAGGTGGTGATCGGTTGACAGCTCCGCCCCTCTCTTTACCCGAGTGTCTGAAACACGTGGCCGAAGGTCAGATGATACGACAATAAAATGTCGATCATCGACCTCTGGCCTAGGGTGTCCTGGTGACACGTGCACTGGTGGACACCCTTGTGCTCGAACATGGTGTTTGTGATGGACAAACCGTGACTAGCACAGAAGTCCAACAACTGAACACCACTCGGGTTCAGATCAGGGGGGCCGTTCTTCCCGATCACCCCTCTCCAAGTGTCACTGGCGCTTCCCACATGGGCGTTAAAGTCACAATATCCTAATTCAAAAAACATAACAAGGCAAAAATTATAATGCAAAGGAAAAGTTGAAATAAAAAATAAATAACAAATTAAAAAAATTTATAGAAAAAAAATATTGAATTTTTTTTATATATAATAACAAAATATATGTATCAAAAAACTTGAGTTAAGAGCAGTATGATTTTAAATGTTCTATGGGCGAGTATTACCCGGTGATTGACTCAAAGGTCACACCACAAACTTCACAAGAGTTTGAAGACAGAAACCTAAATAAATAATGATCAGTATTTGCCGAAAAGCTCAGGGTTCATTATGGGATCTACACTTTTGGCTCGGAGCGAAGCAGCAGTGACAGCAGCGAGCGCTTCACATGTGACCCGACGTCCAGCAGGAAATGAGATCATGTGCGACGGTTGTTTTAGTCCCTGGTCCACCGCAATTTCTGGGTTTGAATAACAGTCAGCGCTGTCTCCGTCTGTGACTTAATTAGCTTCATGTTGAGAGTGAAGATTGAAATAACAAACCAATAGATATTGAACCAAGATAAATATTTTTTGGTGGGGACGTAAACACTGGGATTGTATTGTCCGATAATTTAGGATTGAATAGGACAGTGGAAGTGTTCCTCTGATGACAGACCTGCTCCCTTCCCTCTCTTTTGATGCTTGGGTAAAATACTAAAATGTTCTCTCAGCTATATTTTTGAAAAAAGCAAATATTGTGGATTTTCGGGGGTATTAATTGTATGTATTAATGATTTAAGGAATGGTTTCTCTGGTAAAAAAATGCTTCCCGCCTGTAACTCCATATGCAACCACCAGAGGAAAGCGTTGAATTTGTTTTGCCTTTTGACAAAGTAAATAACCAGCTGTAAACCAGAAAACAATTCCAAATCAATTTTAATACGTCTCCTTTAAAGTGCATTTGAACATAATCTTGAAAAGCTGAACTATCCATGACACAGGGAATACAGAACATAACAGAAACCTTTAATTAAACCTCAACCCAGACGATTACAGAAACGTTTGAGAACAAATCTGATCCAAAATGTTTTCTGAATACACATAAAGAGATATTAGAAATGGTAGAAAAAGAGATTCCCATTTTATTGTCTTGTGAACGACTCACAGATGTTCACATATATAATTTATCTATATATATAATTTATGCAACTATATATATTTATTTTTAAAGCTTATTAAATAGTTGTCTTTCCTTCAGAAGAAAACATTCTCTTCAAGACGCTTGAGGTTCCAGTGCTGAAAAACACAAGGCTAAAAATATATCCTTTCACATAATAAACATTTCTCTCCAGCTTTAGTCCTGTTCACAGCTGCCAACCAAAGTGATGTCCGGTCATCTGGTAGAACTTGAGGTTGAAGGGCCGGTAGAAGTCCCGTAGCCTGCGCACCACCTCGGGGTGGATGTTGGGGTGGGTCCGCCCTTTGGTCTTGCCCAGGCAGTGGGGTTTGCTGCTGCCCTCGGCCTTCTTCAGACACGGGAAGCCCTTGGTCTGGTTAAAGTAAAAGTGTTTGTCCGTGATGATGCGTTTGAGTCCCAGAAAGTCCTGCACGCGGCCCAGCTCTCCGGCCGGGTCGCTGATGAGCCGCTCGCCGCTCACGAACAGCAGCTGCTCCATGGGGAAGTGCTGCAGCCAGTTGTCCAAGTGCTTGGCGTAAATACCGATCTGCACTGCGCTCCACGAGGTGTCGATCAGGCCCGTAGTCCTGTTTTTGAACGTCAGGCTCTCGAAAGACGGGATGTCGGGCTTTTTGGACAGAGTCTGCGTGTAGTCCGAGATGGCTCTGGTCACCGGGTCACGCACCACCACGATGAGTTTGGTTTTCCGGGACATGGCGGCGATGCGGGCCGGAGCCTCTCTGGTCACAAAGTAGCTGGGGGTCTTCTCCATGGTGATCTGGCCCTCTAAAGTCTTGGGCATCAGCTCTCTGCACACACAAACACATAATATATTTAGTTTGTGAGATAAATTATGAGTTTATAGGTTGTTTTTTGTACATGAGCAATAGTGAGTAATCCAACTTCATCTTTGGGACAGTTTTTTCAAAATAACAGTGCAAGTCACCTCCTGCAGGACACTCTCTCTGCTCTGGAGAGCAGCTTCAGTGACAGACTAATTCACCCTCGTTGTGTGAAGGAGAGGTTCCGTAGGTCTTTCCTTCCTGCTGCTGTCAGACTGTACAATAAGAACTGCTGAGCCTGTAAATTTCATTCATCTGTAATTAAGTAAATTCTTAAATCATGTGCAATGTGCAATACTGCAACTTCAGAATGTCACAGAACAATGTCACTTTACCTCATGTCACTTTACTTATATACTTATTATCCTGCACTATTTAACTGTACAGTATATAACTGCACTACTACATATATATATTTTGACTGGTATCGAAGCATTTTCAGCATCTACAGCTAGTTATGTTAGTTAAGAAACATAGCTACTACTTATTTGTATATAGTGTATATATTGTGTGTGCTCCCTGTGTGCTCTTACTACTGTCCTATATGTGCGATGCAACACCGAAATTTCCCCACTGTGGGACGAATAAAGGAATTCTTATCTTATTTTAATTTATAGACTTTTTTGACATATTTAATGCAATTGTTTTGGATAATGGATACTTTCTAGCAGCTAAAAGGTTAAAAAAGAATGGTATCTCTCAAAAAACAATAATACATTCGTTTTTAGTAAATATTTTCTACAGTGTTCTCTTAATATACCTTTTTTTTTTCTCCCTGGTATTTGTATTTTACTTTACGACTTCTCTGCACTTATTACAATGCTCATTATTGGGACGATATGAACAAAGTGGCGTGTGGACAGTACGAACAGCTGTTGTCTGCATAGCTTTGGGAAATGCTGCCCCTGGGTTTGTGAAATCTGTCTGTCCCGTGGGTCCAATTGAAAGACGGTATTCTACTGTCAAACGACAACACAAAAGAAAAAAATGTCCCACTGCACACGTGTATGAGGCGCGCACGGTAATGAAATATTTATAGACTTTACCCCAGTGGCTCTTTCACTAAAATGACAGTGTTATGCTGCGTGTCGCCTGCCTGCTACGAGTGAGGAAATGAGAATATGGTTAAAATATTCACATCTCTCTCTCAATATGACATTTTTCCCATTCTCATTTACACCCACTTGCAGGTTTGTGTAGTGTGTATTGGACTACAGCGCTCTTTGCTCCAACAAAACAATTTTATATATATTTTTTTCTTGACGTTGTCTATGTTGATCTGGAAACTCGAGTCTGCAAATAAAGTAATCTATCTGTCTATCTATCTAATACTCAATTTTTCACTTCCATTGTTACACACCCGCTGCTGTTTGTGTTATTTTCCATATGCAGGTCTGTAGACTCATTTGTTTGACTAAAGCTGAGGTACCTAACTTTCAGGCCACAAAAATTGAGCTGTGTAATTTTATCCATCTTGATATTTACTAGTTCATCGCTCTCAAAACTGTCACTAGTTTTCACATCTTTAGATCAAGTTTTCAGACAGAAATGTGACAAAAAGAGGACTGGCCTCACGCAGCCAATCAGCTCTCAGCTCAAAGTGTCAAATAGTGACTCACAGGGCTCTTTCTTACATTAACATTTTCTAATAATATGAAGACACCTGCTTGTGGTCTGAAATGTGTTTACAAAGTTGTTCATTAATTGTAATGTACAGATTTTGACACAAGTTAGATACCCCAGCTTTAATTACATTAGATCAATATAGTGGTGCAAATCCATGTACAAATGATCCACAATTGTCTTAATAAATATGGCAAAAAACATAATAATGGTATTGTATTCTCTAAGCAGCCAAGTTAACAGCGTGAATTAAATTAAACTTTTCAAATTGTGAAGAGAGAAAAAGAAATTCAATCCCAAGCGTGAGTTAGACCCGCCCTGGCTCACCCTCACAGCTTCCTGATTGGACAAAATCAATTTAAACCATTCTCCTCCAGCAAATCTAACTCGTCGTGGTTTTGCCAGGAGGGGCGACTATTTGAAATGCATTACTTTTGAAAAAATACTTAATTTACATGACACTACAGGACATTATAGTAAAAACATCATACAATACAAAACAACTGCTGAAGTAAATACAAGTTAGTGACGTCATCTTTAGTGATATGATTTTTAGAACAGACATATACAACCTAATGAAAAAAAACCCAGTGAAGATTAAGAGATCCTATTATTGTTCCCACAGTGAGGAAATTTCAGTGTTGCATCACCAGTTAAGGAATAGTATGAATGAGGAGCACACAGCACAAGATAAATGAACACAGCTCTATACTAAACTCTATACTAAATAATAATAATAATAATCTATAATGTATAATTAGCAAGAATGAAGTATAAATCTCTTAATGTACTTTGAGTTGCCTTGTGTATGAACTGTGCTATACAAATAAACTTGCCTTGCCATTGCATTTGAATATATACTGCAACGTTTACAACAAACCCATATTTCCGGTCAGTGTTCCCGTCCCCTCCCCTTTGGCCCCCCCACACGACCAGGCCAGGGCAGCAGAAGTGGCCCATGAATCATTAACACGGCCTCCCTCCGCCATTTAGAAGCTCTGTAGAAAAACCGCTTCAAAATTCACCAAAGTACAGAACGAGGAGCTCAATTATTCATCCTCTGGTTTCGGCGGCTGCTGACAAAGTGGCCCTAGACGCTGAGCCCAAAGTGAAAGACACATTTATGAACAAGAAGCAGATTCTACCAAGAAATGACGTCAGAGTATTGTGATTGACAGCCCTGATGTAAAAGTTGACGATTTTTACTGATCAATTAAATAAAGGCTTTTTAACTTATTTGACGTAACATATTTGGTGTAACATATTTTACGTAACTTATTTGACTTAACTTATTTGACGTAACGTATTTGACGTAAATTATTTGACGTAACGTATTTGACGTAACTTATTTGACGTAACTTATTTGACTTAACTTATTTAACGTAACGTATTTGACAGAACTTATTTGACGTAACATATTTGGTGTAACATATTTTACGTAACTTATTTGACGTAACGTATTTTACGTAAATTATTTGACGTAACTTATTTGACTTAACTTATTTAACGTAACGTATTTGACGAATCGTATTTGACGTAACGTATTTGACGTAACTCATTTGACGTAATTGTTTGGCGTAACTTATTTGACGTAACTTAAAACTTAACTTATTTGACGTAACTTAATTGAAGTAACTTAATTGACGTAACTTAATTGACTCAACTTATTTGACGTTTTTGTGTTCTTATTTTCTGCATCAAGACATCATTTTAAAGCTGGGGTACCTCGCTTTCAAAAATTGTAACTCATTTAACAACAACAATGTATTTCTTAGTAGCTATGGCTCCATAATTGTCTAAATAATAATAATAATAATAACAATAACAATAATATTTCCTCCCTCTCCAAACAGCTTGCTCCTACCACTCGTGTCCACATGCATGTACAGTATTTTTGGCCTCATTTACTCCATTTTAGATCAAAATATTCAGGCAGAATAGATTAAAAAAAGACAAGACCATCCTCATTTGTGCATAACATTGGATAAGGCTTTTTCAGAGACATTTACTATATGTGATACAAAAGTTACATACCTCAGCTTTAATTTTTTGCAGTGTATTGCCGTGTACAATAACTTAAAACTTATAAATACGCTTTCCAATTTTGGGTTACCTCACACAGACTTCCAATGACCTTGTGTATCTCATTACTGTTATACTGTAGCCCTGTCTTAACCTAATGATCGGTAAACTACGACACAAAAATAATGAAATATTGAAAAGTTGCGCATCATTTATTGACTTGTGTTGCAGTGAGAGCCGTGTCTCTTTGAACGACATCACGTCTCCTGCTGATCACGCTTCAGGTCTGTAAACTTCACGCCTGGTTTCACAGACGCAGCTCAAGGAGAAGAGAAGGATCCAGCTGTTTGTCTCTGTCTGTGCTCAGCTTAAGATCGCATTGTATATAGGAAACATGAACTATTTGACTGCAACTTTGTTAGTCTAGAAGTCCTGTATGGAGTTCAGACATTTTCAGATCATGGTAAAAGGTGGTGATGGATAAATGTGTATTTAATATGTATGTTTATAAAATGAATATTACAATGTATATTCAACAATCACATGGCTTAAATGCGACACATAACATCTAATTGCAGGTGATATAACCATTTCTCAATGTGCAGTGCAAGAAAGTGTGAAAGTTCCTGCACACAACCTGGTCCCACACATTAAAAAATGCCTGGAATATTTCCATCAACTTTGGGAAAAAAAAGATCTATATATATATTGTTTTTACAAAAGATTGAAATCTTGTTGGGGTGGATCAACTTTCCGGTGAGTAATGACCAAAAGAGCTGCATGTTTGTTTTGAAGAAGAAAAAAAAAATTGGTGGACACATTTGGTATTTTTCATGTTTAAGTACTGTATACATACTTTTTTTTGGTGAAACCTGTGTGTTATAAATAGTAGTTAGCAGCTATTTAACCTCTTGGATTTTTGCAAAACTCCAAAGAAAATTTTAGGATCTTGAGTGCAAATATTTTAAAATAAATGATTCATGATCTTTAGAATTGAATTTCTGTCTGTAAATGATTTGTTAAGCTGTGTGTTTTTTGCTGTGTGACAAGAGCATCAGAAGGTCAGAAGGTGGAAGAGCCCCGTGAGTGTCCGGGATCTAAAAGCCACCAGTCGATAGCTCCAGGACAATGTCCGGAAGCTCCGATCCCAGAGAGAGCAGCTGATCCTGGGGCAGTGAGGGACGAAGAGGAGGAAGAGGAGGAAGTGATGAAGCACAATGGTGAAACCCCGCTCCGACCAGACTGACCACGACAGGAGAGGAGACAGATGAGAACTCACACGCTCCTCTTACACCGGCTCTGCAGATAAACATGCTGAGGCCAGGACAAAAATACAAACACAACGGACGCTGTGTAAATAGTTCAAATAAAAATTTTATAATAATAAATCTAGAGTTTACAATCTTGCAGGTTTGTTACGTCTTGTTCATTGAGTGTTTAAACTTGACCCTAAACACTTTAAAAAGAATCAATCTGACAGAATAAACAATAGACAAACTAACTATTGTATGCTCTGAATCAATAAAATTTACTTTTTCAGTTTTTGCGGACAAAAGTTTGTCTGCTGCTTCTTATAGTTTTCTCAGCAAGAAGATCCTAGGTTTGAACCCCGAAAGAGAATCTTTCTGAAGTACATCATGTATTTTATTCATTCAGTTTGTTTTTTTTATTTACTCCATCAGCAACAACAAAACAAAGCAATGTTAAGTTTCATTCCCTTTTATTAGTCCATTTGTGGGTCAGGGAAGTGGCAATCCGAGCTGTCACTCAATTCTCAAAGCATCTTAAGTGTGCCCAGGGACACAACAACAGCACATTTCTCACATTTGTGTAAATCATATTTATAATTATCTTGTATAAACAACCCAAAAATACAACTCAGAATTTTAGGATATGTCACTCTGCCTATATATAAATCTGTATCATATACTGGTCTCACATGTTTGGTTGATTTACAGAAGTATATAGACTTTTGAACGATATTCTAGTTTTCCAAGTTTCACCTGAACATAAATTTTTTGCATGTGTGATAAAGATTTTCTTCCCGTATCGTCTTGACCTACTCCCACCCTCGTTGTTTCATCTGTGGGAACCCTCTGAACTCAGCGACTACATGTAAAAGCCGACATCACCTGGACATGAAAAAGACATGAAGCCAGCAGAAGACGCCGTCATCTATATTTGATGCCGCGTGTGGCTCCTTTAACAGCAGGAGACACTGCATGAAAAGTTAGATTTTCGTCACCCTAAACTGCAGGAAATCACGCTCTTTTTCGGGTATCTCAGGCAGTTTTCAGAAGGCGCAGTTAGGGTGCCCTGTCCTCCAAACTGCCGTATCCGTACCATGCTAATGTCCCTACTTTGCATATGAATGCAGCGAAACACTGCGGCCGCGGAGCGCTAATGGCCCTAATTAGCATATGAATGCAGCGGCTGGCCAGGCTGCTATTCAGCATTGGTGGATACCACTACTTTCAAACTCGTGATTGGCTGAAAAATCACACGTGGCCAGCCCACGTGGGATTACTCCCCATTGGTAGCTTACTCCCCATTGGATGAAATCACTACTTTCAAATAAGTATAATCTCTCGTGATTGGCTGGCAGATCTGTCACTATTGGTCACCCTGCCTCATAATTAATGTAATAATATTTATATAAATATTCGTATTATTTATAGAAGAAATGAAAATTTTCCAGGAATATGTTCATACAAAGAAAGCTTTATTAAAACACACACACACACACAGCTTTATGCTCACACATAGGTAATTAAAAAATTACAACTCTGAACTGTCCAAATTGCCTCCTCTGGGTTGTAATTTGGCAGGGTTCTAGAGACGCTTAATGTGCGTGGCTCTGTACTTCCGCACCGCCTCTAACCGGGACTGCAGCTTGACAGAGTTCAGAAAACTCCGGCTTTCGAAAAGACGGCGACCGCACAATCCATCCAGAGACACCGCCCACAACGCCTTCTTCATTGGACATTAGGTCTACCGTGGCGGACTTCCAGAGTTCCACTTTGTCACTTTCTAGCACACTCGGTCTCGATTCCAGCGGCTGAAAGAATCAGTAAATATTATTAGCCAAATCAAATCCTTTTTCCCCATCTAAACATAGTGTCTAAAGCAGACCTGGAGATTCTTATCCATGCATTTGTCTCCAGTAGGTTAGACTACTGTGCCACAACAGCTGCAGTACATTCAAAATGCAGCAGCTCAAGTCCTGACCAGAACCAGGAAGTACGATGGTAAGGCAAGTTTATTTGTCTAGCACAATTCATACACAATGCAACTCGAAGTGCTGAGCAAAATAAGAAAGCATTAAAATAAATAATCACAGTACATTAACAAAGATAAATATAAAATACCTCAGTTGTAGCACAGCTAAAGTGACAGCTCCTCTCTGACAATGTTTAAAACCAGGTTAAAGGGAGAAACAGTAAAACACTTACACACAATGTCGTCTTTATCAACATGGTGGAAATGTGGACTTATTGTTCACATTGTATTGCAGATATTGTGTTAAGCAAATAGGAGGTCACCGTCTCATTACGAGGCGAGATTAGTCTGAAAACAAAGTGTACAGTTATGATTGTTATCTATACATATCCATTACCGACACAAAACATGTAGGTATACCAAATTCAATTTCCATGGATACATTAACAATACTTACATAACCTTTTTGAGAAAATGGATCCTTCAATGAAAAAAGTGTGATAATTCTAAGAGCATAGCTTTCTTTTGTTTTCGGGAAGGCATTTGTCTAAGGAGAAAAAAACACTCATGGTCAAAGGACTTCATGGTTACATAAAAAGGCTAAATTAATAGTATCTACAAGTACATATTTTCACAGGGACCTAACCAAGAGATAATCTACAGGAGAACATCTACCTAGGTCATTTATAAAAGAGATCAGTACTATTTATCTTACAATGGGGAATCAATAACAGTGCTGAGAGAAACTGAATTGTTATGTGATTATTGTGAAAGGTCTTTCAAATGATTTTCATTTTATTTTGAGTAAATATCCTTCCACTTGTAAGAAGGAACTTTTGAGTATTAACTGAGGGATACAACATACCCATGTGTTTCACTCATGTCACTGACGAGAAGGTCGACAAGTTGTCTTCGAGAGCGGTGACTTAGTGATCTCACAGAATTATAATCTTTAAGGATCTCTCGGTCACCAGGGTTTTCCTGCAGTTCCACCATCTACAAACACGTGAAAAATGTAAAATGACAATCTACAATTGTACCAAAAATCTTAGGATACAAAATGCAGCAGTACCTCTTTTGATGTGTACCTTTCTCCTTTCTCCATCTCCTCTGCTGTACATATGTGCATTTCAACACCAAACACAATCATTTGGCCTTAAAGAGCTTGATGAACTGTGTCGTTAGGCAATCCAATGCTTCAACGAAATCATTGCCCAGTTTGGAGCTGATGATCTGGTTAAATTCTGCCAGGACCTGCAAAAAAAACAACATAAAACACTTCAAGTTAAATGCATAGTTGTAAAAAATGTGTACACACCTGTCTCTCTGTATAAAGTGTTGGCCAGCGTGCTTTGACATTTTCCACAGGTCGGGCAGAATTGACTATTTCTTGTTGTCGGACTGCAACACGCTGTAAGCAAAAAAAGAATAATCAATCAATATATATAAAACAATATCACATGATTTTTGCTCAAATGTGTTTAAAGGAGGTCTAGATTCACTCAATAACATTATTAAGCAATGGACTTAATAAAAAAAAAAAAAAAAAAAATGAACAGAAAGACAACAGTGACAAATGAGATGAAAAAGTACAGTAATAAAAGTGAAAGTCTTAGCGCTCAAACAAAGACAGGAACAGTGCAAAACAAATGATATATGTTAGATATTCCACAGTCTCCTGTATATCAAGCTCTGCCATGAGCCCAAACTGCTTTTCCTTCGGTTCTTTCGAAGCAGTCTGCTCTGTGCGCCTCGTCCCTGCTCCTGCAGCTCCATGCTTTACAGAAAGTTATCACACACGGAGCAATCACATATATATGTGATATATATATCACATATATGTTTTGGTTGTGTAAAGAGAGTGATGATAACACCAACAACCGTTTGTGTATATACTGGTCAAAGTGCTCGTGGGTCCTCCGGTATGATACTCCGTCTGGTTGGGAGGCCACCAGCAGACTGAAGTCGTCTGCCAATGATTTGTGTCTGAAGGTCAGGAATGTAGTTGTAATCCTTTGCTTCTTTGACAGTGTGTACCCGATACCGTTTCGATTTTTTGCTGTACAGTCTCTTTAGGCTACAAGATAAGTAATTTCACGTTAGAAGACAACTATATTTATGACTTGTCAATAGGAAGTAGTGAATGATACTTACGACACTTGGCCTTTGCTGTTCACATGTGCCGGACGGTTGTTGTGGTGATTGTAGTCCAAAGCTGCGAGAAGTGTTCTTGCTTCATAAACAAAAAATGAAAAAGCAAACCGCTTTCCGGCATACATCAGAATATGGTTTTGGAATGATTCCAGCTGTGAGGTGGTCCTACAGGGAAAGTAAGTAGGAAATAGAAGAAACACAAATCATTCAAAAAAACAAAAACTGATCTCTTACCGAAATGTGAGGAACTTCTCCACATCCTTCAGCCATCTGCGGTTCAGCACGATCTGTGACAGTGCCACATGTGCTTTAGAGCCAGTTGGTACAGGCTCTTTAGTGCCATCATCCCCCAAAGGACCATGAAGGCATCTACCCAGGTCCCACTCATGCACGCCACTAACATGGTGCAGTACACCTCGCCAAATGTCCTAATAAGCAAACATAAGAAACTGAAAAGGTATAGTGAAAATGAGAAGATAAATTCTAGTTCTACTTTACTTACCATGAACTCGTCTCGGCTGCTTGCATGCTGACAGGCATACCAAAAATGGTTAACAATGTCCTTGATCCACCCAAGGATTTGTTTTTGACCTGCTAGGACACCCGCCTATCAAAGTTATTCGTTTTGGTTATGTCTATAAAAAATAATTGAATGAGAAACGATATGAACTATCACTTACAGCATGAAGCCTCTTAGTTAGATTTTTTGCAGCATGCCAGACATCCAGGGAATGGTTAACTCCATGATCCATATATCTTCCCCGTTCTGGATCTATTATAAAGCTCAAAAATGCAGTAAGCACAAAATATAGCACATCAAATAATACAGACAAAAATACTTACGCATGAGGGCTGCAATTTGCACATGGGCGTCAGTCACAATCTTTGACTTTTAATTCTTTCGTGAGATCATCAAATGTTTTGATGAACGCTGCCTTCTCCATAGAGACACTTTTTCCACCAACTTGCCTTTTATCAACATTGACAACACTGATAATGTCAAGTTCCATCGTTGTGTATGTGCAAAACGTTGCAGAATGACCTTGTTGAATCAAATATGGTGAAACACAAAGTAATACACAATAACTATGTTGTGAAGTGAAAGGCTTCAGACTTACCTGGTGAGTCCATTCTCCCGTCAGCTGTAACAGATATAGTACTTATAGTGACTGCAAATATGACAAAGATTGTCCTTTAACACATTACTTACCAAAGGCCACAATGCCATCTTTTGACTTTAATCGAGTTACAATAGACAACCTCTTCTGCTCCCAAAATGCCTTTATTTCAGGTACGCAGTAGGAGTGTTGAATTTTGTAATAAGTTGTCGTTGAAACCATCTTCATATTCATAAATTTGAAGAGGAGGGCAATCTTAGCAAAATTATTACGACTCAGTAATAAGTTGGCAGATAACATAAAATCGCCTCCTTGCATCCCATGTCGAAGTACAGGTTGACTGTTCCACATCCATAACTTGTGTCCATAAGAGCAGAACTATGGAGAAAGAAACAAATAACTTTTACTAAATGTATAACTACACATTTTGCCTACCCTAAATACCAATCTCTAATTTCAGCATTCACTCACCCATTCCAATATGATTGATGTGCCCCTAGAACGTGATTGAACCGAAAATGGAGGCCGACCGTCACACTCAATACCAGAAACCGGATCGCTGTAATGGCATTTGTTGATGGGCAGTTGCAGAAAATTAGCCATTTGCAGCAAGCTAATAGTATACGCTATGCATGCTTGTTGGTGCACTAGGTCAGTTTCAGCAACCACACGAATTGGCTTTGGGAATGTTGATATGTCCTGCTCAGACTGATCCTCAAAGTCCTCTGGGTCTCCGGGATTTTCTGGGTCACAGATGTCCAACACAGCTTCTTCTATGCCGAGGATGGGAAGATTGTCAACTTCTCTTTGAATTGCAACACCAGCACTGAAAACAAGAACAATTTGATGCTTTTTCAAAAAACAATTAGGGAAGGACTTCCATTATTTTCAGGACAGAACATTTAATAAAAAAAACCTCAAAGATATAGGTGGGACATATTCTGAATCTAATGGATCTGAGGCCAAATCTTCATCAAACTCAATCCTGTGAAAGTAAACAGGTCATATTTTAAAACAATCAACAAAATATTTATTTTTAAACATGTTAAGTAACTTACACATTGTCTTCTAGATTGTTTGCCCGTTTTTCGTTTAACCAAAGATCTGAATGTCTACAAAAAACAATAAATCATATAAATAAACGACCTAGAAATGAGAATACAATGTACATCTTAATGTGAATGTATGTCTACCTTTTCTCCAAAACCTCCAGCTCTTTCTCCTCTATAAAAGGCTGCACCCCTGCCACAGATAAGTCATCCCTGTTAAAAAATACAGTTTGTTTCAGTGAAATTGTCAATAAGGCTTGAATCAAACATAATGCCAATCCCATTTTTCTGGGAAAAAAAAGTACCGGTCAGATTCTACGGGACTGATTGAACTCGGGAGATCACCAGTCGCAGTAGTGGTTTTAGGAGTTGAGGCCTTGGGACTCCTTGATGCCATAATTTTTTCATAGCTATAAAGTAAATAAATACACGTTACCTATACACACATGCATCTCATTGTATTACAGTTGGACTAACCACATTATATTACTAATATAGTCTGCAATTCTACGATACATATAGTACAGGTACTGAGGTACATAATCACTGCATCTGCAAGTTTCATAATGGTTTACATGCACAGTAGCAGCCCAATAATGTACACAGCTGTACTAAGCTAACAGATGCTAACGTTCATTCAAAAGCACTAATCAACGTAACAGTCATTATTTCTAGACATTCTTCATACAGAACAAAAAAAATGCTGAATGTGTCTCGCCAATCTGTTACTGTTCAGAAAAAAACCGAACCAAATGGAATCAGTCCATGTTGCTAAGTCAAAAAGCTAACACACAATAATGCTATATCTCTTCGTATTCGAAGACACTAGGACGTTTAGAACTGAGTCACCGTCTTACCTTCTAATCAAGATAAACGCCAAATGAGGATCATTTTTTATCCCCAGAGCGTTTCGGAGACTTCTCCATTTCTCAAACGCATGGCCGAGAGCGACTCGGGTCTGAGCTCTCCGCCGGTCGGCCTCTCGCTTCGCTCTTTTTGTAGCACTAGTGACAATCTTTTTTCTCTTCGCTTGGCGTGGAGTTCCAGACGGTGATTCTGAAGCTGGTCTCTTAGAAGAAACTGCTGGATCCATCTTCAAATACGCGTGATACGGAGACGGGACAGATCCACTGAACGCGAGGGAACATATGGAGCCAAAACAGTGAACGGGCACGCGCATTGCGTCACTTCCGCTTAAACAGCGCGCGAGAAAGCGACCCGAGTCTGGGATTTCTCAATCACTGTATGCGCTCACAGAAGCAACCACAGTGAATCTGCTAATGCTCAGTTTACACACCAGGCAACTGCTGATGGACCACAGATGCAAAATATTGCATTAAGGCATTTTTTAACTTACGCAATGCACCTGTCAAAATTATCGTTTTGACTCACGTTATTTACATTTTTTTTAAATACCCCCCATTTATCCATAAGAATATCACTCAGAATGCTGCGTGTGAGATGGCCTCCTCCGTGGCCGCTCTGGTTGTTGTTAGCGGCTGTGAGTGAGTGCAAGCTTTGCACGGGCTGCAAGCATGGATCTAGCTATTATAATAACAGCAGCAAGCGATTGCTCCGTTCACATACTCAGCGCTCTGCGCACTGTATTTTCCCTGGTTCTTGTCTGTCAGGCACAATCTGCGCACTGTATTCTCCCTGGTTCTTGACTGTCAGGCGTGAGTGTTGCTCGTGTGTGTCTTTGGGAACTAATTATTTTAAAATAGTCTCTTTCAATTGCAAGTTTTGTAATCTGTTTGTTTGATCAATGGATAAAAATAAATGCAATTTAATTAAATGGCACCTTGGCCTGTCTTATACCTGTTTGCCTGCAGGACAGTTCCCTAAACTAACATATCATACTAAAATAGGGTGGGGTTGTTGCAACAATTAATCTACTTAGAAGTTATCCTAAATTACAGCCAGCTAAAGCTCGGTACCACGACAAACGAAAAAGTAACGCAATAGTTACTTTTACTGCTAACTAGTTACTTTTATAGTGGAGTAACTCAGTTAGTGAGTCAATTACTTTTTGGTAGAAGTAACTAGTAACTATAACTAATTACTTTTTCAAAGTAACTTACCCAACACTGGTAATTATATTTGATAATCTCATTTAACTTCAATTGGAGTGGATTTGAAATAGAATGTTAAACATGCGATTAATCGTGAGTTAACTCACCATTACTATGCGATTAATCAACTAAAAAAAATGAATCGTTTGACAGCCCTAGTATATATATATATATATATATATATATATATATATATATATATATATATATATATATTTGAACCGAGAATAGAACACATCTTTCATGTCATGAATAAAAATAAAAAATCCAAACTTTTGGTCTGTACTGTACATACATGAGATGAGCACTTACACTTTCAACATGTCTTTTGTCCTATTAGATTTATTTAATTGATTTTGACATGACAAGCTATAATCAATCATGATCAAATATGTGTGTGTGTGTGTGTGTGTGTGTGTGTGTGTGTGTGTGTGTGTGTGTGTGTGTGTGTGTGTGTTTGAGCATTTACAAAATCCGGGTCTACGGTGTGCTCCCCCTCAACCCTGATTAGCATTTGTATAGCTCACAGCATTGCCATTTACATGTTAAAGCCTCCTGTGGAGGAGGGAGGAGGGGACAACAAACTGCCGAATCCCAGAAGTTTCACAGTAATATACAGGGCCGAAAAGAGACGAAAATCACACTTTTCATGCAGTGAGAGGGGGTGAGGAGGGGGTCTCTGGGTCAGTGAGGAGAAGGTGCAACTACAATGTGTTTAATGCACCTTTAATGTACATTTTTTATCAGCTGGAGAAGATTGGATTGGTGCTGCTTGGTTTGGTGTTATCCACAAAGCTAGGTGTATTTCAGAGTTAGGACACAATAGAGATAGACTAAAGATACACAGCACTTTCAATGGGATACGATATGTGTCTTTTACTTCTGCTTCTTTTTGTAAGGTATGGGTCTAAAGATAATGTGATTACATAATTGTACAATTTAGAAATATCAAAAAGTGAATGTATTCTTTGACTGGGTTCTCAGGATTATTTGAAACATAGGGGACACATTCTCCCCACTCAGCAGTGTGCGGTGGCTCTCAGTAAAAAGACGGTCACAGAGAAGCCTTGAAAAAAAACAAATGCGGACCTTCTCCCACTTCTTAGAAAGAAGGTCCTGGGTTCGAAATAAATATCAGTATTTATCAATAAGAAAGTTACTCATATAGTATTATCAATAGTAATTCAGTTTGCAGTGTCTATTTCATAGTCTTTTTTTAGTCTTCTCTACAGTCAAAGACAGACATTGGAGAGTAAATGTTTAATATGTCCCTTTTTCCTACAATACTTAGTACTTAGAATTAGTAACTAATGCTAAGGTTATGAATCCAATTCGTTTTTTATGTTATTTTAATGTACACACGGTGTACAAATTGTTTTGAACATACAAAATAACAAAGTATAATCTTGTGGTACTTTGATTTTGCTCTATTTCTATACAACGTGCACTGGACAAAAACTTTAAACTTCAAATTTCACCTTGCACATACATTAGCTTTTTACTGTAGGAGAAATACAAAGGCCTTTTTCTTTTCCATTCTGCAGCCGCGCCGCGCTGAGCTTTCTAATGAAACTTTATTGGCAGCGAAGGTGATGTAACAGATGACAAGCCTCCAAAAGTCTCCAAATTTACTGCGGTTCCACTCTTAGGCTTTGATGTCTCTTTGCCCCATTGAAATAGAGGTCCCAAGATCCACTCCTGGAGCAAGAACTAAAATATATTGCCTTCTGCCTTAGAGAAAAACTCGCACATAAATTGTTAAAAAGTCTGTGAACTTGACATAACATGCTGTAACGATTTGCCAACGCATTTCACTTAAAAAATAACAGCACAAAACATGTTGCCATGGAATGATTCAAGCTGTTCTCTCCATTTGAAAGACCAATCCAATGTACACAAGTCCATAGAGTGGATTTCTCAAAGCGTTCTTTGTGGAAATGTCTGTAAAGTCACATCGGAGCGAGGCCTGACGCATCACTGACAGCGTTTTACAATCTGACTCAGGTCTGTATGAGCTGCTGGGGCCATTAGGGCAATAGAAGAATAAATAGGACAGTCCTTGTATGTATGTATGTATGTTCATATATTCAAAATTTTTTCTTATTTTAAAGCGATAACTCTTCCAGCTTGTTATTGTCTCAATGACTGCAGATCTGTCAAAATGGTCCATTCCTCAGATCAGAAAGCAAATGGTATCCTAACAAACACATAGGAGCCATTGGTCTACAGTGAGTGAGATGACCATCGTCCAGAAATGTTTATAAATGTCAATAAACATCCCAGATCATCACTGTGTTTAAACCCTCCCAGGAGAGAGGAGAGGATAGTGATAAAGTTACCAAAGTTATCGCAGTAAACCATATGACTCCATGACTGACAATCTGTGTTTGATTTTGTTTACATATTTTTGTCTGTTGACAAATTAACTGTATTTGATACAAGTTTGGATATGATTTTCTAGTAGGTTTGGATTCAACCACAACTGAGCAAAATATCAAGAAGAGATGTATTGGAAGACTGATTCTAATTACAGGCCATAGTATCCCATTACCATCAATGCTGTAAGTTACTGTTATAGAGATAATTTAAAATCCTTTCAGGGGCCACTAAAATGTTCTTGAGGGCCGGATTTGGCCCACAGGCCTGAGTTTGACATGCCTGGTATAGACTGTGTCCGCTTCCTTGACTGCTTCCTTGACTTTACAAGTTGGTGTAATTCCCATTCACTCCACACACAGTGACGACAGAAACACAACGTCCTCAGTATTAGAATCGAGTTAATTTGCAACAGCCTCTATATTGACATCCTTCTAACTGCCTGCTCAATATGACACAACAAAACCACACTCTCTAAATGATAGGCTTAAAACAAAGTGGTGACCTGCTGCGATTGAACCAGTGGATCTGAGCCAAAGCCGTATGTATGGGGCCCCTGTTGTAAGGACCCACACAGAGCCGGGCGCTGGGAGCCTGTCCACTTCCACTTGTCCACAGCCTTTGATTCATTTTGCCTCTTGCAGCGGGGAGCCTGAGCCCACATAAATACACTCCCACACCACTGGCCTGCCACTACCTGCAGATAATAATCTTGTAATTGGCTCAATATTTCTGCTGTTTGCCGCCGGAGAGAGGGCGGCTGGGATATTTTCCAGGTCAGTGGACGCCGCCGGAGGTCAGGAGGGGAAGAGAGAGGAGAGAGAGAGGAGAGAGAGAGGAGAGGGGTGGGTTGTGATTTAGAGAAATGGCAGCGCGCGGCGGGCAGAGGGCTGCGGGGTTTACGGCTCTGTCAACACGGTGCGAAAACACAGCTGTTTACCTGCCACAAAGCGGCGCGGCGAGAGGGGGACGGGTGGAGAAACGGCTTCGATCAGAGATGGATGGAGGTCGTTTCATTAGGAGATGATCACGGCTTTTCTTATTCGCTGTGGAGGCAAGCGTGCTCAACACCTCACTGCTAATCATTTCTTTACTGTAGGTCACGGTATATGTTCTAATCTTCACAATCAGAATCAGAGTTATTTTCATTGCCGCAGTGAGAAACTAAAAGACACAAACTAGGAATTTGCTAAAAATTACTACTACATACAAGTGCACTAACTACACACAATAGACGTTTAACAAATTTTTTTAAATACACATACATTGAAAATAAGTAACCATAAATAACCATATATTTACATACGGGAAAATTGTATTATTCTTGTGTGTTGGATAAATTATTTTTGGTGCAGTTGGAATGAATTTTATTTATGTCCTGCTATCAATGGCCCCTCTCCATTGGGGGCTACCACTGTGTCCTGGCTGTGACCCGTCGAGTGTGACCTATGGGTGACATCACATCTGAAATATATGGGGGGGTCTCTCAGTCTGTGGACCCTCTTTCTTTCTCTTCACCATGTGTCCTTGTGTGTATGTAGGGTTTTATTTTCTGTTACCTCTGTTTGTATCTTGTAATTTTAGAGCACTGTAGACATTTATTAAAAATGTTTTTATTGATGGATTTTAATAGTCACAATTGTTATTTGCTTTATTTTATATATGTGTCTGGTGCACACTGGGGTATACTTTTGCACATGTATTCCAATGTGATTGCACTGCAAATAAAATGAATCTGGAATTTGAATCTTTCAAGAAAAGATTCAAATTCAAAATGAAAGATCAAGGCTATGCTCACACTCAGAGAGCAGCCGTCCTCCTGTGGACTCACCACCTGCAGAGGGTCAGTGAGGGGCTGGTGCTCTGAGACTTGGGTGGCATCTCTGACTGCCACCCCCCTGACCCAGAAATGGATTAAAGGGTAGAAAATGGATGGATGGAGCGATGGAATTTGAATCTGTTTTGTGTCATTAAAGGTCCTTCTATTCTGTTCTATTTGGTTTAATACTATTTAAATTATTAAGCAACTAGATTTTGGTTGTAACAGTTGCCAAACCGACTCTTGGTTTCTGTTGGAAACATGCATCATTTATGAAAGATAAAGTCAGGTACCCCAGCTTTAAATCTATAAAAAGCTGTTTTCATAACTAATGCAGCATGTAGAGCAGAATGTGTAATAATTATGTATGCGTGAAACAGGGAGTGAAAGCATAAAGTTAGCGATAAATCCACAGCTCGCGCGTTTGATAAATGCGTTTTTTCTGACATTGACACAATAATATAGCTGCAGCACTGTTCTGTCCACGTTAGCACAGCATCTAAAACTCTTAAACACTGAGACATTTTGGCACGCAGCCACCACACCATCCATCTCCACTGCCGTGCCTGGTCTCGCTCCGAAACCCCTGCTTTTTCACGTACGCCACAACATCACACAGCCATAAATAAAACCTGGCAAAATAATCAGCCTCGTGCCATTTGTTTACCGGGAGAGAAAACCATCACGAACGAAGCCGAGGAACTATACTGTATATCACCAAACGTCACAAAGGTATATTTTTATCCAATCTTGTAAAAATAAATCTTGCGGCTGGTAGTCCCACTAAAAGTACTTTCCATAACAGCGAATACTTTGTACATGACTGAAATATTGATAGAGTTAGCTTAGCTGTATATGTTCTTATAAATATGTCAGCAGTGGTTTTCAATGCAGAGAGTGGGACCAGGACCAGGACCAGGACCGGGGCGGGTTGCGTAAGACAGAGGAAAATAAGCGCTATCTTTAGGTGAGTGGCTGGAGAATGAATTATTGAGCGCTTTTAACTGTGGTTGAATAGTAACAGGGAACAGTGGTTGGGATTGCACAGTTTAGAGGGAGATAATAATTATTACATGATAATTTTATAATAATTTATTATGTAGTTTACATACTGAAAAAGTGTTAGGTGAGGTAAACTTGCTAACTTCTACCACTTTATAGGAGTGCTTCGCTAAACCAGATCTTGTCTTTATACTTTTATCCATACCTTTTCTATTATATTCCATTCATTTTACTTTTTAAAACGTGACATATTATCAAAAGCATGTATAAGATTAAAGAAAATAATAGGTGTGTTCTCATTATTTGTGAACCCTGAAGTTGACAACCTCCTTTGCTTTCTGAAATTTCATTGGTTCAGGAAAAATACATTAAAATCAGTGTGTAGACTTTGAATGCCTGTTTTCTTTGACCCATTTCCTCAGATTGTTGAAGAACTGTGAATTGTGGGAGATAAGCTTTGGCAGCAACTTTGGCAGCAAGATCCTTTGTGCCAAGATTTTTTTTTTTTCCACAAAGCTGAAGAAAGATACGTTTTAGTTTGACAAGTAGCAGAAGTAGCTGTGGAAAGTAGTTTTCATGTGAATAGATGTGTATAGTGCTTATTTATTGTATTTGATTGGCTAGGGGCTCTGAAGGGACAACAAACAGTACAGGACTAAGAGGACAGCCCTGCCTAGAGCCTCTGGGTGAGTACTATTGCTGTTGGATTATTATAAAGCACCTGGACCATCCAATATCTTCCGCTTTATCCGTTGCCGGGTTGTGGGGACAGCAGTCTAAGGAGAGAAGCCCAGACTTCCCTATCCACCTCCTCTAGCTTAAAACATTGAATAAGTCAGTCGTAACAGCAGTAAACACAGTCGGAATCATTGTAGTAGCAGTAGCTGTATGGCGGTCGAAGTAGTAGTACTAGAAGTAGTTTTTGTTCCACTAATCTACAAACCTAAGCCACTTCTCCATAAGCTCCAGTGATGTCTGTGCGTTAAACTTCCAGGCGTGAGGAAATTGCACTGCATATAAATCTGAATGAGCTCTAAATCCCACATTAAACTCCATTTGAATAAAGAGAAAAAAAGGCCTGTGTCAAATGCATGAGAGAGAAAATGAAACGTTGAATTTACCCTGAGCCAAATGGAGAGCTTTGAGAGGACTGCTCTGCTGTAATTACCCAGAACAAAAGATGGGGGCTTTTGTCTTTTGGCCCATTACTGCAGTGGATTTGAATCTGCAGAAACATTCAATATAAACAGTTTTCAAAAATATGCCACAGACAGACACTGAAGAGATATCCATTATTATGAGAGTTGGCACAATGACTGTCTGTGGCTGGTTTGATGAAAGAATTCATCAAAAGTTCAGAGAGAGGAGAGAGTTGAGCAAATCAGTGAACCAAAAAACGGTTTATGGGACTAATTGGGTTAAAAAAGCTTAAATTAGGTTAAGTTACTTTTATACTATTATTGTCCACATATGGAAATTTCTCCTCTGCATTTAACCCATCCTTCAATGCCACAAGGAGCAGTAGTCTCTGGGTCGACACTAGATCATATACGGAATCGGGACGAAACCGGAAGTAACAATCCTACTTTCGAATTCGTTTTAGACTAATTAGTTCTTAAGTGGTGACTAGTTAAGTTTTAGGCGTCTGAGTAAGATGGTTAAGGTTAGGGTTAAGGCTGGGTTGGAGTTATTTTATGGGAATGGCTGGTTAAGTTTAGGCATAAATAGGTAGTTTGTATTTACTTCCACTTCCGTCCCGATTCTGTACATGATCTAGAGCTGACCGTAGTCTCTGTAGTACAGCGCCCAGGAATTTTTTCAACTTAAAACTTGGTCTGGGATAAAAGGCCTCGGATTTAATTTTTTTAGTGCAACACCCTGCGCTGGTAAGGCTGTCCTGGGCGGTATCGGCGACGCGGCCCCTGCACCACCAAAGGGGCCAAGAGGAATGAAAACGGATATTAAAACAATCATGATTTTTTGTGTTTTGGTTTTACAGTTTTTTAATTTTGAATATTGCAACCGTAAGACAAAATTCTGCTGGAAAATCATGCAAGCCCAAAATTTAGTTTTTTTATTTGGGATGTCAGAGAGGGAAATAGAAGGAATGGAAGGTAAACAGACCGAAGTAGCCTGGCCATATCCATCCGTACACTCCGCTCAATCATAATTTCACTGCGTGTAACGTCTGGGTCTGGTCCATGTGTTAGCGAATACAATCGGTCGTATTTCGACCGGCTCTCAGAGAGCGCGGAAGGCAGGTGTTTTAGGTCGGTGCCGGTGACGTCAAGAGTTTGCGCCGAACGGGCAGGTTGTAGTTTGGCAGTGGCGAAGAATGCGATAGTAAAGTAATCCGGTCTGGTTCTATCAAGAAATTGAAGCAGGAGCAAGAGGAATGTTTAGCAAATGTAATCGCTGGTCAAGATTGTGGCGCTACTCCCCACAGGCTCCGTTAGCGTCAAAGGAGATGGCTAGGCTAAACGCTAAATGCTAACAACACACTCGGGCGCACTACATACGTCACGGTAAACTCAGATCCAATCGTTTCAATCTGCAAAAGGAGTTAAAAGGAGTTAACGGAGCTCAATGGAGCAAATCCAGACCTTAGTATGAAATGTAATTTGTACTAAGATGTGGTACAACCAGGCTAAGACCGAAGAGCTTATTCCAAAATTCAACAGTTGAAACAACAGATTCAACAAATGGAAAAAGTAGAAAAATCATCTCATAGATCCAGACTCATAAATCTGATTTACTCTATATTATATGCCCATGCAGAAAGGGAACTACACACAAAGTGATGAATTGTGTCTCATTTCACACGTTGGCATCTGTACAGTCAATAATTCTAATATGAGAATCTTCAGTTTTTGGCAGCATCTGTTCCCCATTACAACAGACACACGAGTGATGGAGCGAGTGTCTCCAGAGCTCGAGCGCTGGACGAGTTTGAAACGTGAATACTTTGATGTCACAGACGTCCACAGGGAGAATACTGCACTGTGGTTTACATTTACAAAAGGGCGAAACAAGACAGAGAACAGGTGAAAAATGCATTTACAATTATACCGTTTCACTAGTCCATCATGTGAGAAGTAGAAAAAGTCACAATTGAAGCAAATCCAAGGCTTGTGACAAATCGCACGGATGCAACAATTTAGCATTATGAAGATACAGATTTAGGTCCAGGAGTTTT